GATTATTTTATATGATTTAATTTCTAGACTGCTTAATGTATTCAAAGCAGTTTACGAATAACTGAAGCAATAACAGACAGCATAAATAAGATATCAAAAATGCACAGCTACATATAAAAATGTTGCACTAACACAAAGTTGCTAATATATATAAATCAATATCAATTCATTTTCCTTCTGACACACCACGCTGAAGTCACCTGCACTGCCTGGTCATCACATACCACAGCCCTTCTAGTTCACAGAGTCGTGCATGAACTTTTCCTGACAGGAGGAAACTAAAACTCCTCGCCCATTTGCAGAAGCTTCTCTTCCTTTCTTTTTGCACATGAGTCAAAAATTAAAATCTCTCTTTTTTTGTCTTCAAATCAAATTAAATCATTTGGGTAAGCTTGTTGTGAGGCCCAGCACATTACACATTTGAAGAGGAGCCACAGGCACTTAAAAATACTGCTCCTTTTCCTCTTGTCCTCTGCACAATAAAACCAATTAACAAGAACAAATCTTCTATGGATGAAAAGATATGAACGTCCTCAAAAAGCCCTAAATATTAGGTCAGTGCCACTTTACTGAGCCAATCAAATAAAAAACCGTTTGTGCAGAGTTAGGCCTCATTAATCTCCTTTCAGATCCAACCCTATAAAATTAATTATCATTTATCTCCATATATTTTTCCTTCCACAATTATAAAAAAGTATTTTATAAAAGTACCTCAGTTTTTCTTTTATTGTTTTAACTTGGGTAGTCTGGTGGCTAATGGCCAAGACAAAAAAATCTGTACTTAGGTTGTTGTTGATGATGATGATGATGGTGATGATGATGATGATAATGAATGTTATTTTCTGTGAAATAACAGATAAGTCACTTAGGGCTAGTGCAGAAGCAATGGTCCTGATGGCCTAACCATAACGCAGAGATTAGTATAATACTACAGGCTTGCACATTCCTATTCCACAGTGTCATAAAGCTACATGGGCACTAACCACAACTGCTCCATAAGCAGGGCTTGCAAACCCACCTCAACAACAGAAAGCCTGGCTAAACATGGATAGCACTGCTGCCCACTAATTGAACATTATGGTTACAACAAATCTGCACCCGCCAACATTTCTCTGAGGAAAATAGGGGCATCCTATTCAGTAGCAACAACAACAATTTTACTATTTATACCTCACCCATCTGCCTGGGTTGCCCCAGCCACTCTGGGCTGCTTCCAACGTATATAATATACATTTATATGTATAAGTATATATGTATATGCATATACTGTATTATACATATTTATGTCTCTCACCAAACGTAAACAAACTGTGAAAAAGACTATGAATTGAAAGTGGAGACAACCTTTCCCTGTTTGTTTGCTTTGTAACACAAAAAATCCTTAATAAAAACTAAATAAAACATTAAACTTTAAAAAGCCTCCTTATACAGGGCTGCCTTCAGATGGCTTGGGGGTTGGATAACTGCACACCCTCCAACATTTCTCTGATGAAAACAGGAACATCCTAAGGAGAAGTGGGACATTCCAGGGTCAAATCAGAAACTGGGACGGCTTCTGTAAATCCAGGACTATCCCTGGAAAATAGGGAGACTTGGAGGGTCTGTAAACCATGGAAGGTGGGATGGAACTCACAAAAAAAGAAGAGAACGATAGGGAGGGAGTACCCAAATCTTGTTCCGAGTCATCTACCTGTGGCTAGGAGATCAGGATAATTTGTTTGTTTATTTGAGTCACACTAGCCAGAGTGAACCATAGCTCTACAATAGGCCTTAATAAAAGTAGCATTCACTCATTCTTCTGAAATTCTATTACACAAGCTGGGCATCAAATGCCTTGGTTATTTCAGTTGCCTCCAGACTGTCAGAATTTCATCAAGTCATGTTGAAGAGCTGTAAAATTCCAAAGGGAAATTTCCTTGAGAGGCTCAGAGGTTTCTTCGGTGCTTCCAAAAGATGTGGAATATACCTTGTAACTCCACGGGAAAATTGTCATGTTAGAGATCAGCTCAGGGACTGAAGATACAGTGAAGGAATACAGATCCATTCATCTCCACATCAGAGGGGAAGTCTAGCCCATGATGATCACAAACACAATGAGCTCCCATCTGTTACATGACAACTGTGAAATGAATTGACACACACACACAACTAGACAGTGTCTATTGTACCAACTTCTGTTAATGAAAGCTTTTGAATCACATCAGGAAATGCTCAAAGGCAACAATAGCAATAGATGTTGTTCCAATGATGACTATCATCTTACTTGTCATCTTACTTTATCATTCCTTGGGACAAGCAGAACATTAACACCAAAAGGAGCTGTCCTGACAGCTGTTATAGACTGTATATGGGGAATTTTAGCAGGGACTTTTCTGCTCCAAGTCAAGGAGAGTGAGAGCAACAAGGAAACTCACTGTCCAGGTTACTCCAGCTATCACCCATCTCCACCATGAAATTAATTACTTCTTAGAGAGGGCAGAGGAGTGAGTTACTATAGAAGCTGGGATACGAGTAAAAAATAAAATAAAAAGGGTGGTGAACAAGCATAAATAATAATTTTATATAGTAAAACACTGAAATAGACAACACAACCATAAGATTAACACATTAACTCTAATATGCACCAGCAGCTAAAAACATGCAGCAAGTTTAGGCATTGCCCAAATTTAAATGCTGGGGGAAACAGAACTGGTTTAACCTAGTGACAAATAAATTGCAATGTGTGTGGGATGGCATTCCACACTGGAACATTGCCAGATTGTGTTATATAAAGGTAAAGGGACCCCTGACCATTAGGTCCAGTCGTGGCCAACTCTGGGGTTGTGGCGCTCATCTTGCTTTATTGGCCAAGGGAGCCGGCGTACAGCTTCCGGGTCATGTGGCCAGCATGACTAAGCCGCTTCTGGTGAACCAGAGCAGCGCACAGAAATGCCGTTTACCTTCCCGCCAGAGCGGTACCTATTTATCTACTTGCACTTGATGTACTTTTGAACTGCTAGGTTGGCAGGAGCAGGGACCGAGCAACGGAAGCTCACCCCGTCGTGGGGATTCGAACCGCCGACCTTCGGATCGGGAAGTCCTAGGCTCTGTGGTTTAACCCACAGCGCCACCCGCATCCCATAGAATTGTGGAGTTGGAAGGGACCCTGAGGAACATCGTCCAAGCTCCTGCAATTCAGGAATATGCAGCTGTCCCATATGGGCATCAAACCTGCAACCTTGGCATTCTCATTCAGCACCATGCTCTAACCAACTGAGCTATACATAATGCACTTCTGATTGTGAAGAGACAGTGAGAAGGGCTTTGGTAGAAGCTCTCAAATACAGCCTATTGACCCCCAGGCTCCATGTACACAGGCTTCTTTCAGCAGAAGGTGGATGTGGACTACGTTTGGGGCTTGTCCTGTGCAAAATGCAGGAAATTCCTGCCTGTGGCTGAGCATGGAATCACATCCAGATAGGGGAAAGGGGAGAGCTCTTTGTGGCTGACTTAAACCGCTTGGTTCCTATTGGGAGCCCCTCCACAACCAGCACTTCACACGCCCAAAACACACTGGGGAGCAGCAGGACCATCACCAATATTGGTAAGGTTGGCCACAATGAATATAGATGAATCATGCCATATACGTGCCACATTTTGGCACAGCATCCAGTCTGGAGAAGTGTCAGAGGCAACCTCAAAAAAGCATAAAAAGAAGAAACCAACAGACTGTCTGGCTGAACCACTGTCTAGATTAGGCACCCTCCAGAAATACAATCCATAAAGCGTTCAACTCTGTATTGTGACATACGATCTCACAGCTGAAAAATAAACACAACTTTAATACACAATCAATGCTTTCAGGGAAAATACCCCACTGCTCTTCAAATCCCATTTTGTTCTGTATATCCAAATTGGAATGAATGTGTGCTGCAAATATTGGTTACTGAATGGTACTACATAAGCATTTTGAAAATCTCTCATTTGCACTGGCCAGATACACTCTGGTAGTTCCGCTGTATAAGCTAGGAAATCTGTGTCATTTTGTCCACAATTATCCCGAAAGATGTCAGAAAAAGTCTTGAGGGCAAACTAGGTTGTCGGGGGGAAGGGAGGGAGAAATCTATCTTCGTAGCTCCCAACATATTATTCCTTGGTTAAAATCAGCACTGGGGAATTGCCAGGGTGCGGGGGGGGGGGAGGTTAACATTTCCCTAAAAGTGACTTACTCAATGGAAACCACCAACACCATACTGAAGCTGCTCATTTTATTATGTTGGGCATGCTTACCCTGAGACTCTTACTCCATTCATGATTAATAATGAGATGCATTTTGAGCTAATGTCTTGCCTTTTGTACCTGCATGTGTAGCTTAGCATTCATCAGACTAGGCCAGCGAGGCTGACAGCCACAGGCGCAAGCTCAGAATTTGATTACTTTGAAGCTTGATTCAGTCTCAATGAGAAACTGTCCTTCCTTCCTGACAGCTGCATTTTAGTCCAGCGTTAGCATGGACTAAAGGGACGTGGGTGGCACTGTGGGTTAAACCATAGAGCCTAGGGCTTGCTGATCAGAAGGCCGGTGGTTCGAATCCCTGCGATGGGGTGAGCTCCTGTTGCTCGGTCCCTGCTCCTGCCAGCCTAGCACTTCGAAAGCATGTCAAAGTGCAAGTACTGTAGATAAATAGGTACCACTCCAGCGGGAATGTAAACGGCATTTCTGTGTGCTGCTCTGGTTCGCCAGAAGTGGCTTAGTCATGCTGGCCACATGACCCGGAAGCTGTACGTCGGCTCCCTCGGCTAATAAAGTGAGATGAGCACCGCAACCACAGAGTCGGTCACGACTGGACCTAATGGTCAGCGGTCCCTTTACCTTTACCTTTAGCATCATAGCACTAATTCCCCCTCCCACCCATTATCCCTCCTTCCCACAGGCATCTGGTTGGCCACAAGTGATATCACAAGGCTTGTGATGTCACAAGGCTGGGACTGGTGATGTCACAATAATCTTGAAAGGCAACAATCTGATATGTGGGCTGGATCTGACAGCATGACTTACTAGTGCAGAGGTGGTGCTAGAGAGGTGGTAATCAAAAAAGAAACAGGTGAGATTTACTTGCCATTTTATGGCTTTAACCTGAGTCTCAATGCCAAAGATCCATCAGCCCTAACAAGGAACCATGTTGTCACTTACAGGAATCAAGCTGCATTTCTGTACAGAGATGAGAATGCAGGTGGGGTGGCAGATGTGCGCCACTGCAACAGGTACCTTCTCATTTAATGGCAGACACCTGATATATGGCATGCGAACTTGCTGCCACCGTCCATCAACTGGAGCTTGAGCTACTGGAGCTCCAACTGGAGCTGGAGCTACTGGAGCTACTCCAACTGGAGCTGGAGCTACTGGAGCTACTGAGGTCTCTGTGCCTCTGTCCTTGACCCCACGCCAGAGTTCCCATCTTGAATTGCAAGACCATGTATGTGCCAATGTAGAGCAGGGCTGAGTGTTAGACTGAGGAAACCAGGGTTCAAATCCCCCCACTCAGCCACAGAGGTTGTTCTGTGACCTTGGGCCAGCCACTCTCTCTCTCTCAGGCTAGCCTACCTCAAAGTGTTGTTGAGAAACTGAAGGCAGGGGGAGAGGGCTTGCTAGAAAGGGAGAGATGATGAAAAAAGTTAAATATCTGGGTGTTAATTTGTCGGTGAAAAATTTGAACTTATATAAAGATAATTATGAGAAATTATGGAATGAAATTAAGAGAGATCTGGAGATTTGGTCGAATTTAAAATTGTCATTAATGGGCCGGATTTCTGTGGTTAAGATGAACGTACTGCCAAAGATGTTGTTTCTGCTCCAAGCCCTCCCAATTACTGACAATGTGAAATGTTTTAAAGAATGGCAGAAAGTTTTATCTAGATTTATCTGGCAGGGGGGGAAACCCAGAATTAAATATAAATTATTAACAGATTCTAAAGACAGAGGGGGTTTCTCCCTGCCAGATTTGAAGATTTATTTTGAAGCCGCAGCCTTTTTTTGGGTTAAGGAATGGATACAATTAGATAATTCAGATGTTTTAGACTTGGAGGGATTTGACAATGTGTTTGGATGGTATGCTTATCTATGGTATGAGAAGATAAAGGCCCATAATGGTTTTAAAAATCATGTAATTAGAAAATCCTTATATACCATTTGGATAAAATATAAAGATCTCTTAGAAAGGAAAATACCCAGATGGCTGTCACCAATGGAGGCAAAGGCCCAGAAAAAGTCAAAAATGGAAACTAATTGGCTGAGATATTCAGATTTATTATTGGAAGATAAAGAAGGATTTAAATGAAAACCATTTGATCAAATCAAAGATAAAACAAATTGGTTGCATTATCATCAGATCAATGAATTGTATAAATTAGATAAGAAAAATGGTTTTGCATCAGAAAAAAACAAATTGGAAACGGAGTTGTTAGATTCTAAAGTTAAAAATTTGTCTAAAATGTATAATCTATTGTTGGAGTGGCATACAAAGGATGAACAAGTTAAATCTGTGATGATAGATTGGGCAAGAGACATGGGACATAACATAATGTTTGAAGACTGGGAAAGGTTCTGAAGGAAAGGGGTTAAGTTCACTGCATGTACAGTGTTAAAGGAAAATATTATGAAAATGATGTATAGATGGTACTTAACCCCTGTAAAACTAGCCAATATTTATCACAATAGTGATAATCTATGTTGGAAATGTAAAGAAAAAGAAGGTACCTTTTATCATATGTGGTGGAACTGCCCCAAGGTGAAAGAAAGAATTGAAAAAAATGTTGAAATATACATTTATTAAGAAACCAGAGGCCTTTCTTCTTGGAATAATAGGTTTGGAATTGCCCAAGAAAGATGTTAGATTGTTTTTGTATGCCACAACGGCTGCTAGGATTTTGTTGGCCAAAAACTGGAAAACACAAGAAGTGCCAACAGTGGAGGAATGGCAGATGAAGATGATGGACTTTTGGGAGCTAGCCGACCTGACCGGAAGAGTCTGCGACCAGAAGGAGGAGGAGTACCAGGAGGAATGGATGAAATTTAAAGACTATTTAGTTAAATATCTTAAGGTAACTTAAATAGAAATACTTGAAAATACCAGATTGGCTTAGGATTTAAATATGTGATGTTATAGAATAATATGTCTAAAGTTAATATGAAAAAAAAGAAAGATGTTAATTGACTAAGTAAATTTTATGAGAAATTAGTTTTGGAAAACTGTTACAATGATATACATTGAAACTCAGCCAGGGGGATTCGAGGAAGTCACCTAACAATGTTAATAATAGTGGAACAATTATAGTTAGGATTTATGTTTGTTTGTTTGTTTGTTTATAAATTTGGAAAATCAATTGGAAAAAAATTGAAAGAAAAGAAAAGAAAGGGAGAGATGAAACAAATAAATAACGCACCAACATATTATGAGTCAATTTAGAACTAGAGGTAGGCAGGAAAAGGGGTTCCTCTCCCCAGTCATCCATGAAGGAAACTCATAATTAGTGCTCCAAACCAAATAGCTGCTTTTGGACATCACAAAAGGTAAGAGGGCTGGCCCACCTCTGACTCTTCTGTAATTCAAGCATCACTTCAGAGGCCTATCAGTGACATCACATCATCCAAACATGCCTACTTCATACCTTGTGCCCTGGGTTGTGTCTCGTATATATATATCCTGACTGCCTGTGAGTGGGGTCTGATTGTACCAACCTAAGCAATACAGAGGGGATGTGGGTGGCGCTGTGGGTTAAACCACAGAGCCTAGGACTTGCTGATCAGAAGGTCGGCGGTTCGAATCCCCTCGATGGGGTGAGCTCCCGTTGTTTGGTCCCAGCTCCTGCCAACCTAGCAGTTCAAAAGTACGTCAAAGTGCAAGTAGATAAATAGGTACCACTCCGGCAGGAAGGTAAACGCCGTTTCCCTGCGCTGCTCTGGTTCGCCAGAAGCGGTTTAGTCATGCTGGCCACATGACCCGGTGTACGCCAGCTCCCTCGGCCAATAAAGAGAGATGAGCGCCACAACCCCAGAGTCGTTCGCGACTGGACTTAATGGTCAGGGGTCCCTTTATCTTTATCTAAGCAATACAGAGATGGATACCAGTGATTTAGTGAACATGGGTCAATTGAATCACAATACAACAATCACTTTGGGGGAGACACCAAAGGCAACTTGACATCCCACTTTGCATTATACAACACTAAATTAAACTTTGATTAGCATTCCGTTCTGCTGGAATTGGCACCGGCGATTGCTTAGAACTAATCAACTAAGTGCTGCTCATACTGAAACAGCTGATAAGGGCTTGTCAATTAAGATCCTGGGCCGGCCTTATCATTAGGCAGAGTGAAGTGGCCACCTCTGGCAGCTAAATTTGGGGTGTTGTGAAAGGGCAGCAAATGCTTAGTCGTTTAATTAATTTGTTTGTTTGTCTTTTTACTGCCAGGGAAGAGGGGAGGATTTTCTGCCTCATATGCCAGAGTGATTTTGTTGGTATTGGGTCTTATGCACCTTGTCTGAGGGACTGAGGTGGGGGGTGGGGTTGCGCCATCACAGCAAACAGCAAATTGCTTTCCAGGTATAGCAGGTTTGTACCGCACACATGCAAATCAAGCAGCAGACCAAAACTCCTAGCTGTTTTCTCACAGGTCAATGAACAGCCTTTGGATGGTGAGGATTTGATGGGCTTAATTATTGTGCAGTGACCTACTGTTCAGCATTCATGACCCAAGCCCCACAGCCACTTCCTGATATGGAGCCATGTTTGTTTGTTTTTAATACCTTGTTCCTCAGACGACTTTCACATCATTCAGGGGTCCTCTCCCCCCCCCCCCCCGCTTCATTAGATGAGAATAAAAAACAGTCCAGCAGAGCCGAAACTCAAAATAAAAGCCAAACTCAATGGGCTGAAACGCAGGCTGCACACATATTTATGACTAAAAATCTACACGGATGCCTTGCCAAGTCCTCATAAAATCCCAATACTTGGCACGGGATGCTCGATTTTACAGTTTTAGCTTCCTTTGGCATAATCTGCCATGTTTTAATTAAACAGAGAACGCAGAGTGCATCCCCAGTAGCCCATGCCTCTAGCCTCATCTCTTTCAATGTGCCATCATGGAAATGTAATTGCAGGAGAAAACGCTTCTCCTGCATACCTTAGAAGGGTGAGCTATGTCCAACTAACAGGATAAGGAAAGAAATGTTAGAATATCAGGAGATGTGTTATTTGTAAGGCAGAAGTTCCCACCTCACAGCATAAGACAACCCCAGGTGTATCAGACCAAAGGTCTATCTATCTGGTTCACCATTTTCTTACCATAAAAAGCCCAACAGATGCTTCTAGCAAATGTGTGAGCAAAGAACGAAGGTTGCCCTGGCCTTTGTCCATAGCATCCTTAAAGGGATGCTGCCTCTAGACCAAGCAAGAAGATTCCATCCAGCTGTCTTGGCTAATTGCCATTGATAGGTCTATCCTCCATGAATCCCTCTAATCCCTTTTAAAGCCGTCTAAGCCAGCCTCCATCATTGCATTTTGTGCCAGCGAATTGCATGTTATCAATTATGTGCTGGTGTGATTTCCCACCCCCACCCCATCACGAACCTACCATCCACCCATGCCACATATAGAGATGGTGCAATTCTTAGCTATCTAAGTACCTTCACACCATAGGTGCCAAGTCCCTGGGGTCCTGGGTGCCTGAAGACCCACAAAATTCCACATTAAGGGGCCGGGCACCTACAAATTTCAGTGCCAGGGCCATGCACATTGCATGGCACCCAGGGCCCTAGGCACCCACATTCACAGGGCCAAGTTGGCATTCCTGCTTCACATAATTTATGGGTACTGTTTGTATCACACGATTGGGAGTTTGTCTCACGCTCCTAGTAATTTTCTGCAGTCTTCCTTATATACCTAGAGGGTTGTATCAAGTGACCTGTTAGAACAAGGATTTATGCTTGCACAACACTCATTCTCCTCCTCCTCCCATATGGGCCCCGCACCCTCCCCAAATTGCAAGAAGCTCCAGAAAAAGAGTTAAAAGGATTTGGATTTTCTTAATCTAAATTATCTGATAATGTGTTTATCTGGTATCTATGTGTATGGGTTATTTATTTGGATTTTCTTTTTTGTGTAGCACCTTGAGATGTGTGGATAGTAGGTGGTCTACAAATGAACACCATCACCATCAGAAGCTGTCAGGGCTGCCTCAAGTCTCAGCTCACAAAAGACCAACGCCAATCTCTTCTTATATACAAAAGTGTTTATTGCAATTCATTGTTCGCTCCACATCCGAGGCGCGCAGCCCCACGTCTGTTACACTTAGACCGTTGAAGTACCCTCTGAGTCAGTCCCTCCCCTGCACCAGTTTAAGAAGCTTGCGCTGCTCCACCTCTTCCTCTCTTTCCTTTTCCGCAGGGTCTTCCTGCCCCCTGGGGTTTCGCCCCTCCTGGATTCCCCTGACGCGGAATCCCCAGACTGCTCTTCCCCCCTCCTGCGGGCTTTGGGACCTGGCTCCTCCTCCGGGCTCCCTGTACTTCCGCGCGCCTCTACATTTGAACTTGGCGCGCGCCCAACCTCTAACCTTCCTTTTGACAGTTACACTACTCCCTTCACTACTCCCTCCCTTCCGGGAGGGTGGCTTGCTCCGACCTCCCTCCCTTCTCTGCTGCCGGAGCTGCTTCCCCTGATACATTGGAACCTCCACCCCTTTCGCTGCACTCTGGCGGGGAGGCTGGTCCTGACGCCCAGCTGCCACTTTGGGATCCCCTGCTGGCCCCCTGTTCCTGACACGTCCCCCCGGGGCTCCCCTGGCCCTGACCACCGACGCCCCCTTCTGGGAATCCTCTGATTCGCTGGAAAGACTCATGGAATCTCTTGAGTCATTGTCATCCTCTTCCTCGCTGTCCTGGGATTCATCCCCATCGCTCTCCATCTCCTGCCTACCCTGTGCCTCTGTCCCTGAACCCCTGACAGAAGCAACCATAAATTGTGGTTGCCAAAGCATAGGTAAGAGAGTTATATGCAGATGGAGGGAGGACATGGCATGATGAGGGAGAGCGGTCACTTTGGTACCTGCTCAAATCCCTCAGCAGGTAGATCTAACTTTCCATTTCTTTTCCTATGGACCCATGGAAGAATCCTGCTCTTTAGCTGCTTTGTTGAAGCTGTAGGAGAATATGTGGGCCCATTGCTAAGCAACAGGCTTTTGAGTTTCACATTGAACCAAATCATTTGAATACGTATAGTAAACTCAGCTGAGGAGATTTGAGTATTTATGTCACGATTGCCTGAAAGCAGACCCACAAGACTACAAAGCCCACAATGCAATGTGATTGCAAGCAAAATGTCCATTTGAAGAAGAATAAGACAATGAAGAAGAAGAAGAAGCATCTACTGTATTCTATGAAGCAAGTAGTTGAACATATTAAAGGATGGCCGCGGAACTAACTCAAGGATCAATAGTCAGATATATTTTCCACTGAGGTCTATTCTTCAGGACCAGAAAAATGGAACTGGAATGTGCTCCCAGGCTTCACACATGCTTAATGTATGCCATTATACATGAATAATTTTGCTATAGTTTCTGTTCTTATTCTAAAGCACATATAAAAATCTCCTGTCTGAACTTCTAATGGTTTTCTAAAATTCAATTTTGTAAAAATTATTTTATAGAAGGGAGGTAATAATGCAAGTCAAGACTTGTTTCAGGATAGGCTTTCAGCAAGCAAACTGCATTTGACTTATTAAAGTAAATCTGAAACAGCTTGAAGTGTTTATCCTTTGCTTTTAGTTTATTTTTGTAAGTATAAATTTTTATCAAGCTCATTTAGGCTCACTGCTATCCCGGGTGCCCAGAACCCTGAAGCATCGCAAGTCTTTGAACATCACATTTTGACGTCTCCTGAGCCTTGAGGAAGCTATTAAAATGGGAGTAGTGTTAAAATTACCTCAATTTAGTCTTTTATCTGAAAAGTTTCATACACACCACAGAACGGCATGTGCAAATGGCTGAAGGATGGGTAAGAGCAGAGCTTTTTTTCAGCTGGAACTCACCGGAACTCAGTTCTGGCAAATCTCAGGTGGGCGCCATTGCCATTCTAAGACAAGGAGGGAGGCGTTCATGGTGAGTTATGGCACCTCTTTTTCTAGAAAAATAGCACTTAGTCCAGCATTTTGCCCCCACATTGGCCGACCAGACACTTGTGAGAAGCCAACAACCAGGATGGGAGTGTGGCGGCATCATTCTGCTCATGCTCCTTGGCAACTGGTATTCAGTGGGACAGAGTAGGTGACTTGCTTAAACAAAGACATATGGAGGGGAGAGGGAAATGGGTCTGAGAAATTTATGTCCCCTGACAAATAAACCTACTGATGTGAATAAATCATGATTCCAATAAAGTCTTGGATTTGATCCGCTGTTTAGCGTGGGAATAACAGATGAATTTATTATTATGTGATAGCGAAAAGTCCCAAAGTTGAAGGAATTGCACTAAAGTTCACACTTTAATAAAAAAATCATGAGCATTTAATATTAACTGCCCCTGGTGGCGCATGTCTTAATCGAAAATTCTGAACTCATTGGGAACCTTCTCTAATTTTTCGCAGGGTTACTGAAGGAGCATCTCAGCTAGGCAACTGGTAGCTGCACACTATTTATTTGTCATCCAGGGATAGCCCTATGCAGTTTAAATCAAAAGCAGAAGAAAGGCTCTTTGTAATATACAAGTTCAGCTTCTCTGTGAAAGCTACACAACCGAAGTTCCCTGAAGGTGTGTGGAGATCTTGGGAGTCTCCACATTAATCATACAGAATACATTAGATGGGATCGCTATCAATGAGCCATAAGAATTGAATCATATTTTATTACTATTATTTAATAACTTGATGCTGGAATGTGTGCTTAGGTACTGCTGCATGTACACAAAGACACTTAGGACTCACTGACTCATTCATTCGGGATATCAAAATGCCTAGGTACTTTATGTGCCTCCTACAAAGCTGAAATTTAGTAATCAAGAAATTGCAATCACTTAGAGAAAAACACCCAGAACCTCTGAAAACAGAATGTGTATATGTCTCTCCCTCAAACTGGAGGTGATGTGGGGTTAAATTAAGGTAACCAGATTATTTTCAATGAATCCGGGGACACTTTTCAACTTCAATGAATTTTGTATGGGGACTGATTTGTAAATCCAGGGACTGTCCCTGGGAAACGGGGACGTCTGGTAGCCTTAGGTTAAATTATATCTTACATCATTCACACTTAAAAAGTACTTGAACTGACCACTTTTGTGTTACATTTGCACCTCCAGGGGCCTACAGCCAAATAGGCTTTTTTTTCAGAAAAAAAGTGACACTGGGCCCTAGAAGAATTTGGATTTGATATCCCGCTTTGTCACTACCCTAAGGAGTCTCAAAGTGGCTAACAATCTCCTTTCTCTTCCTCCCCCACAACAAACATTCTGTGAGGTGAGTGACGCTGAGAGACTTCAGAGAAGTGTGACTGGCCCAAGGTCACCCAGCAGCTGCATGTGGAGGAGAGGGGAAGCGAACCCGGTCCACTGTTCTTAACCACTACACCATGCTGGCTCTCTAATCTGGTTTGGGAACACATTCCATATTGGGCCCCCACAGCTGATTTTTCTTCAAAGTAACATTGGCCAGTATAAGCCAACGCAAAACAACGTAATGTGTTGTTTGTCCCAAAGTGTACCAGTAAAATATTCTTCCACATCACCTAGAAAGCTATAATATGAAGCGCTAATCATTCGAGACATTTTGATGACGGGAAATGTCTGAAAATGAGAAATGGTGAAATCTATCACCATCTTGGCTGTTATTTACCTCAGAACAGAGGACACACACACCATTTAAATGGCAATGCCCATCAACTTGGGGGGGGGGCTTCAAATATTTTATTTGCTCCTGTGGATTTCCAATATTAATCATACTCAAAGGCAACTTAAATTCTTTATTCCACTTAGTCTTAGTTGGATGTCACTCTTAGCATCCATTTTTCAACATATTATGCCTTATAATGATTTTCTTTAAATAGTTTAATCCACTGCAGCTTGTAAAGTCTATTTACACTTTCATCCTAGACTGCATTTTTCAGCAGAAAGATATGCTATACACATCACAGAAGCTCCAAATATAGACTTACTTCTTAGCAATGGGATGTGATCAAAGTTTGGAGAGTGCTTTGATATCTTGAATGACAAAAGCTTTATTGTAGAAGTACTGTTGTCGCCATTAGATATCTAACTTGGAAACATCTTTGTCCATCACAATGTGTATTCATATTCAACATTCTACTTAGAACAAACAACAATTGCAGCCATGATTATGTGGAGAAGTGGATTTAAAAAAAACAAAAAACTGCCCTAAATACATAAAAAGTAACTTCCTCTCTCCACCACTGTCTCTTTCTGCACAGCACTAGAATTTTTTCAAAGCACAATTGATAAGCTGGTTTGTTTCATGATGTAATTTTTAAAAAATAAAATCATTTGCTGGCCTTGTAACGCTGACCCTAGCAGTAGTGCATAAATATTTAGGCAGTTTCCACCCAAGTTGCTTTCCTCCTTTGAATACTAATGCAGGCAGCAATGAATAAAATGAAGTATCGCTGTAATGGAACTAAGGACCAGTCATGAATACCTAAAAACCTCTGTTTGTCAACCAACTTGTTAGCCAAAATTAAAGAAGCCATAACTAAAACCTAGGAACCCAAGATTCATTTCATTTCCTAATGATTTCTGAGGTTATATTGTGACAATATCAAGTATCATTAACCAAGTAGGCGTTACTGTTGTAACAACCAGGGGGGAAAAGCAATAGCCAAACCAAGCCTAAGGCTAGAGACAAGGAATCTAAAGAGGTGCGTGCATATGGATACATTTTATGACGGAATAATCAACGTTCTAGTTTGAGTTGCATTCCCCATTAGGTGCGCCAGGTTCAGTCAGCAAGGAAATGAAGACAAGTGATATGACTTCTCCTTTGTAAAACATCTTGCAATTGCCGAAAGTCAAACCTGCACTCCACTTGGTCAGCAGGCCATTTGGGTTCTAAGTTTCAGCCAGAGAAAGATAGAGGGATTGTTTGCATTAGATAAAAACTTTTGTTTTTCTAAGTTATGCTTTTCTTACTAACACATAAAGGGGATAGGCTATAAAGATAAAGAAGCCAATAATTAAAGCACAATGCTTGAGAGGCCTTGCTTTAAATCAGAGCATGTTTTGCATCTCTCCTCCTCTCCATAAAACAAATATGGGGGCTGAACATGCATTGAAATGTTTTGAAATTGCACAACAGTTTCTCTCAATCTTCAAGAGAAAGTTTGTGTAACAAACAAAGGATGTCAAAAGCAAATTAAACCAAAGGTTTATTCATTTGGCCAATAAATCAGTCATGATCATATTTTGACTAACAGTGCCCCCACCCCACAAAAAAAAAACCCAAAGTAAGTTTGGACACCATATTTGGTGGACCCATTGCCCTGTGCCCATTTATATCCATGCACAGATTCCTCTCTGGAGTCGCGAGCAAACTGAAATTGATCTGACTCAGTTCCTCCCTGTCCCTCTCAACTCTCCTTTCTGTAAAGCCCAAACTTATTGTTGCCTGCCTATGCCTGATGTCATGTCTGATGTCAGGTGATTGGCAGGTGGGTGTAGCCAGGTCAAAATGGCCTGGTGGGCCCAATGGGGAGGTGTGATGGGCTTAACTAGCTCTGCCCATCAATAGTTCCCCACTTCTGCGTTAACAGACCCAACGGCGGTGGTTACTCACAAGGCATACTTAGCAGAGCCACGAGTAGGCCGTAAAAGCTATTAGGGCGCCAGGGTAGGGACCTAAATTGTGTCGCTGAATGTTGGGAGGATATTTGGCAATACATTCCCATTCCTGCAATTTATTTCCTGCAACAACAAGAGAAATTTCATCCATCCTCCATTTTGATTGGCAGATGTGATGGTGCACACACAAAAATACATTTAACTAAATAAAGAAGGAGGAATGAATCTAGGCAGCTAGGAAACTGCCTTAGACTGAGTCAGAGCACTGGTACAACTAGTTCAGCATCATCAATACTGACTGGCCTCAACTCTCCAGGATTTCAGACAGGGGCCATTCTCGTTCCTGTCTGGAGATGTTGGGGATTGGACTTGCAGCCTTCTGTATGCATAGAAGATGCTTTACCGCTGAGCTACAGCCCTCTCCCAAATGCTTATATATTATTTGGATAGTGGAGGTTTGAGACATGGCCTAATAATATCTCTGTTTCCCCACTTTGCAAAGGCACTCAGTTTATCTGACTTTAAAGGAAGGGGCTTTGCGCTAATCCTCTTGGCACAGCGGGGCTGTCAGAGTCTTCCCAGTTCCCTACGCCAAGCGTGTTGCAAGCTTGGGAAGAGAGTCACAGTATGCCCCTTGTTCGCCAGGTCAGCAGATGCAGCCTGCACATTCAGTCTCTTGGGGACAGGGTCATTCAGCCCATGAAGAGGCATTTCCACGCCAGCTGGCCAGACCTATCTGGAAGCTCCAGATGTAGAAGCAATTGTTCTCTTTGCCCAGCAGGAGCAGCAAGAAGAGAAGCTGCAGCAAAAACGCCAGAATTTGCCTCTCCCTTGGCATCCGCTCCTGCTGAAAACCTTTATCCCCATCTTCAGTGCAGAG